TTCAGACTCAATTACCTTTCATTCGATACCACACAAGCCATGATTTGATTTCAACTCTAATTTTTAAAATCCCCCCCTTATGCGTCACTGACTTTAAAAAAATGTATTTCATTTAACTCCAGACTCAATTACCTTTCATTTGATACCACACAAGCCATTTTTTGATATATACTCTTATTTTTAAAATCTCCCCTCGTGCGTCACTGGCTTAAAAAAATAAAATGCATTTTATTCAGCTCCAGACTCAATTACCTTTCATTTGATACCACACAAGCATTTGTTTGATGTAAACTCTAATTTTTGAAATTCCCCCTTGTGTGCCACTGGCTTAAAAAAATTAAATAAATTTTATTCAACTGCAGGTTCAATCAACTCTCATTTGATATCACACAAGCCATTTTTTGATGTAAACTCTAATTTTTGAAATCCCCCTTAGTGCGCCACTGGCTTAAAAAAATAAAATGCATTTTATTCAACTCCAGACTCAATTACCTTTCATTTGATACCACACAAGCCATTTTTTGATATATACTCTTATTTTTAAAATCTCCCCTCGTGCGTCACTGGCTTGAAAAAATAAAATGCATTTTATTCAGCTCCAGACTCAATTACCTTTCATTTGATACCACACAAGCATTTGTTTGATGTAAACTCTAATTTTTGAAATTCCCCCTTGTGTGCCACTGGCTTAAAAAAATTAAATAAATTTTATTCAACTGCAGGTTCAATCAACTCTCATTTGATATCACACAAGCCATTTTTTGATGTAAACTCTAATTTTTGAAATCCTCCTTTGTGCGCCACTGGCTTAAAAAAATAAAATGCATTTTATTCAACTCCAGACTCAATTACCTTTCATTTGATACCACACAAGCCATGTTTTGATCTAAACTCTAATTTTTGAAATCTACCTCCCACCCATTTTTTGCTTATGTCTGATGGATTTTTTTAGTTTTTAAACATGAAAACAAAAATTAAAACACTTACCTTCACAGAAGCCAAATGCACTGAACAATTTGCACAAGTACTTTTTTAAAGCTTTTTTGCACTAACAATTTAAACAAATTATTTTATTTCGCACCAGCCGAAGTCTAGGCAAATAATGCATTGTTTTAAGTCTACTTCCTTTTTATATGCAGTTAAAAAGGGCTGTCAGATCTTGTTTTGTGGTTGGGTGGTTTTGTCATGTTGAATTGAATTCAACTAGATTTTGCCTTAATGTTTAAATATATTATAATATTTGAATTATGTGCTTAGAAATAAAAATGATAAATTTTGCCTGCCGCCTCTTAATCTTGTCAACTATAAGTCAAATCTTGCAATGCGTTTTTGAGAAAATTCCCTGAACCGATTTCAATGAAATTTGGTATATTTACAAGGGTCCGATGACAATGCAATATTATGAAAAATAATTTATTGATATGAAATCAGAATGATAAAAAAATATTCTTTACTTTTTAGTGCATTTTATAAAAGCCTGTAACTTAATTTTTTCCATGATTTTGGCGACCCTAGATCATTGCGCTCCGGGCGGCCGCCCGGATCGCCCTACCCAGGGGATGGCCCTGCAGTCAGCTGACTTTTTTTTTCATATTTTGAGATTATCTTTAAATATATATCAGGTTATGTGCAAAGCTTGATATTGATTTTTGTGTTTTTTTGTAAATTAGTGTTATATAAAATTCATTCATTATTTATAGTTCCCATTTAGCTTCTTCTTCTTCTTCATACTGTTACGTTTAAATTAAAAAAAGTAGTTTGTATAATCCACCGAGAGGCACGACTTTGATCTTATTTATAATACAGACCTCACACCTACCTTTTCTTTTTTAGCATTATTGTTTTTCCTTTGTATTGCAATTAAACACTAAATTCTATTTTTGATCCAATCATACGTTAGACCTCTAATTTTAAAAATAAGAAACATTGGTATGTCGCTTCTTAATTTAGGCTACAATATCAAATATTTTTAACGTTTTTCTGAAATGTGGAATCCGTATGGGCATCGAGAAGGAAAATAACATTGATGTAGAAATAAACATTTTGGAATGAGGTCGGCTGAACATTTTTCACATATTTTTAAATTTATTTGTATTTTTTGTTTGCTCGAAATGTTACTGAAAAGAGATAATCAACTATTTTTTGATTCTCTAAAAATAAAAAATTATTTACAAAAGCATGCGAAATACCTACGTTTGTTATACAATAATATTTTATTATTATTTTGTACTAAAATTAAAAATAGAAATATAGAAATACCCACGTAAATTATTTTAATACTAAATTTTAAAATTAAGTTTATTTACTTCCTATATTTTTTATGCCTAAACTGTTGACACATAATTTAATAAATTGTCAAATAGAAGGAGACATTTTAACGTCCTGTTCAAAAGGTTGCCTGATGACCTTTTGACTAAACTGTTCAAGTTGTTTTTGAATAACTTTGTGTTTTGAGGGTGAATTTTGAACAAAAACACGGTGTAGTGTTTGATTTTATTAATAGTTGTATCCTTAGTATCACGTAAAAATGGAGTTTGTGTGTCACGGTTCGCAGACAACAGGCCACCGTCCGCTGCTAAGGAAGAGTGTGACGTCATGAAATGAAAAATCGAGCTGTCAGAAAATATTCTGCTGCGGTTCGTACATTGTTTCTTTAAAAAATCTAAAATTTTATTAATATTTAGTGGTGTTTATATTTTTATTTTTAGACTATATACCTGTGTTAGAGTTTTCATGAAATCAATAATTTGATTTTTTGAAAGACAAGCTAGAGAACAGCATGGAAAAAATCATGTAATTATATCCATCAAATTTCAAATGAATTACTTTTTATTTGAATTATAAAGAGAATTATTATTGTGTTAATGGTTTATTTTAAACATTTTGATTTAGGGTACGGCCTTTGAGCTGAATTCGAATCACACTTTGTTTATATCCCGAAATATTTTGAAATTTGGGCAAACCTGGAGCGAGCCGTAATTAGGTTGTTGGTAAACAAGTTTTACTGTATTTATCCACAAAAATAAAGGGCCTGAGCCTTAACTGAAATTAAAGGCTAAAGGTAAGATTTTAGAGTAATTATTTTGCAAATATCATTCACTATTATTAAATTAATTGCAGCTTTGTCCACCCTTCATTTAAAAGCAGATGAGATGGTTTCTTACAAACATTAAAAACAATCGAGAGTAAAAAAGTCAGAGGGCTTTTCTAAAAGAACATACATTTTTGAAAAAGGGGTTTTCTACAGGAAGTTTTTAGTAAAAAGTACATAGTTACAAATCATTTTAAAGAAAAAAACAAGGGCCTTTTGGAGATGAGAAGAAGTTTATAAAGCATTCACGACAAGATATTTGAGTAAAAGGTGCTATCTTTACTTTAGAACTTACTCTACCTTACTCGGGATTTCAACTTTACAAAATTGCGCTACTATAATAAATCTAAGATATGGTCTTTTGAATGATTTATTTAAATACTCGAAGTATATGTAATGTTAAATCTCTGTGTATTGTATGTATATAAACAGAAAAAATAAAACTCTTTTTCTCTAATTGGGTACCTATTACAATAAAACTGGGTTGTTTTATTATTTTTTTAAAGTAAATTATACTGTTCATTCATCAAATAACAAGAAATTGACAAAAATATATTTTTTATTTTTAATATAAATATACCTACATATGTGTATGTTTCTCCTGAAGTCCAACATGCCTTTGTTTTCTTCTATAAAATTATTTGTAACTACTTTTTACTAAAAACTTCCTGTAACAAACCCTTTTTTCAATAATGTAGCTTCTCTTAGTAAAGCCCTTGGACTTTTCTTGCTTTTCTTTGTGTTTAAAGCTTGTAAAAAACATTTCATCTGCTTTTAAATGTAGGGTGGACAGAGCTGCAATTAATTTAATAATAGTGAAAATAATACTCTAAAATCTTAACATTAGCCTTTAATTTCAGTTTAAGCTCAGTTTCTTTATTTCTTTTAATGATTTTTGTGTGTAAAAAGTAAAAATTTCTTGCCAACAGCAACACTATGGCTGGCTCCAGGCTTGTCAAAATTTCAAAATATTTCGGGATATAAACAAAATGTGATCCGAATTCAGCTCGGAGACTGTATCCTAACCCAAAATGTTTTAAATGAACCATTCACACAAAAACATTTCTCTTTACAATTTAAATAAAAAGTAATTCATTTGAAATTTGCCGTTTTGTAGCTTATCTTTAAAAATATCAAATTACCGATTTTATAAACACTCCAACACAGGTATATAGTCCAAAAATAAAAATATAAACACCATTAAATATTAACAAAATATTAGATTTTTTAAAAAACTATTGTATGAGCCTAAGTAGAATATTTTCTGTCAGCTCGATTTTTTATTCCTTGACGTCACTGCGTCCTTAGCAACTGTCATGAGGCCACCGTGTTGTCTACGAACCGTTTTCGAGAACATTTTTGTCAGACAACCATTTTGACTATCAAAAAGTTACGTAGTACAGAACCACGAGAACCTGAGCTTTACACTATATGTATTTAATTAATAATAATATGCAAAACCAACTCTCCAAATTAGATCCATTATAACAAATTAATTCCTTAAATTTTGCATATCGAAATTATTTTGTAAAATAAAGTTTCGAACTTAGTAGTTCCATACTTTATTTCATAAAGTACTTTAAGCGAAAATCATTTAAAATTTAATTTAGTACTACTACCTATTACTAAAAATTATAATTTGAATTTACCGCCATCTGTAAATTGTCATTTTAATTCGTGCTCCAAACACAAGGTGGCGCTAATTTGGTTTAAAACTCTAACATTGGCGTGGGGTCTCTGAGCAACCCGAATTTATTTTCACTAGACATTTTTTGTCATTTTTTTCATAATTATCTTCAAATTTGCCTTGGTTCGTTTTTTGTAATAGGCTAAAATACAAACCATAATATTTAAATATTTACCGAGTGTTTACAAACCTCTAAATAAAGATAGAAAGATAGATACTTACTTGTTGTATGAGATTTGCAGCCTTGTCAAAATATGAAAATATCCTAGAACATCCGGAGTCTACAACATCTACTTTATAATATATGACGTTATTATTAAGAGGTGGATCTGGAAGTTCTGGAGCACAGGATATTATACAAGAAATACCGCAGGTTTCGAGGACTTGAGGGTTAACGTTACTTGCAGATGTCAGAATAAGATTATCTGTTATTTCTGACATATTTGTAGAGATGTAGGGGCACAGTCTTGAAAGTAATTCTGATTCTGGAGATTCTGAACTGAAAAAAAGAAGCAGTATTCAGTACAATATACATTGAAGAAATCAAGAAATTGTACTCATAAAATACGATTAAAAATTCCTATTGGTTTTTATAGCTATTTAAAGAGATTGTAACATTGTTAGAACTTCAACAATATAGTGTAAACATTGTAATAATCTGTAATACATCCTATATCAAATAATATCTATTTAATTATACCTATTTTAAAGACCATTTTCAAACATTTTTGAAGGTGCATTCCGGATAATGTCGTTTAAATTCCAATTCTAATATATTTAACGGGCAATTCTAACCCATATTTCTGTCAGTATCATTGACGATTTATAAGTTGGCATCGTTTCTAGGCCACATATCCTGCATACCTTTACAAGAATTTATAACTATGGCCACTCCCTTCCCTTATTCAAAGTCTGTTGTCGATTTTTTTACCTATTGACTCTTTTTTAAAATACTGACATTCAATAGAGGGTAAAATGGAATTTTATGTATTATCTGTTTTTTATAAACCATATTTATGTTTAATGATGTGGTGCTTTATGTTGTCATGCAATAATTCAATTATTTCATTTTGTATCGATGGTGTAGCGGTCTATCGCGCTTATCCGAGACTGCTGGACTTCGAATCCCAGGCCAGACCATGTGGATTTTTAATTAAATTGCATGGTTCGGTTTAGGATTTGATGTGTGCCGTATTAATGGAGATTCAATATCTGTTAATATGACATGCAGATTATAAAATCGCCATACATTATCGTCTCGATGATGGTGGGTGAGGTTTTCCGGGTTTTCCTCACCTGTAAGTCAAATGGCACCATCAATCATCCTTAAGTCGCCCCGGAGCGCCACGGCAAATAATAATAGCCGTCCCTTCCCCTACACAAGTCGTTCAGTCGACTTCAGGGGTTGAAATTCACTCGTAAGGGGGTGAATTAGGGAGAGTATTATTATTATTATTATTATTATATTATTATATTATGTATAGTTTTCCCTAGATATGTAGCTTTGATTTCTTCTTTACCCTGGGGGCCCTGATTTTGTTTTGCAAAACAACTAACTCAAATTTAAAATGATCTGTATTCTATGCCTACTTGATATTTTACCCTTAGTTCCCATATTCGTAATCCGATACCTCCGTATCTTAATAGGCTGTAACTGTTTTGGGAGACAAATATTTCGTGCGTTTGAAAACCGTGTGTTTTGTAAAATAAAACTTATTAAATTTGTATAGAAAATAAAATCATTCTTACAACTGTTTAAGCAAAAAAATTTTAAATTTTGTTTTAAAATACTTACCGATTAGCTTTCGTTTATTTAATTCAAATGAAAACAGACAAGCGCGCGCCAATAATGTCAAATTATGACAATTCGAGGAAAACGTCAACTTTCTGGTTAGATTTGAATGTGCAAAAGCCTACTTTAGATAGTGATGATAGAAAAATAACTTATATCTTACCTCAAAATTGCATTATAATAACATTGAAATTAATGTTATTAATGCACATTATTTTTATTATCAACCAGCTTTACAAATAATTAAGTAAAATGTTAATAATTACGTTTAAATACCTATAACCCTATAACTTCGTAATTATTCACTTTAGATCCCAAATATGATAGTTAGTTGAATTTAGCTCATCAAAGGCATTAAAAAAAATTAAAATAATATAGAGTTTAACTAGGCAGAAAAGTGACAAATTTTTTTCCGCGGCTAATATTATAGTCTATTTTTATGTATGAGAGAGTAATGAAACAGCATTTCTAATGCAAAACTTAGTACGGTCATTTTAAATATTTTTACAGAATAATCTAAATATTTCCTAAAATTGTAATAAATGTACCTGAGCTATTACAAGTTTTGGGTCTTTTATTGGTACTTTATAAACATAAGCTGTACAGAACAATAGAAAAGGTTTGGACAGGCCAAAAGCCCTGTGTATTAAAGATTACATAGCCGTATCTTAAAATTATTTTCAATAAGTACCTATTTGCCAATTTTGTTTTATTTTAATTCCAAGAATTTCTTACAGTAATCGAATTATAAGTAGATAAATACCTTCCCAACAAATTTCACCGAAAATGCGATTATAGGTTTTCCATTTAGTAAGGAGGTCCAAGTTGTGTATTCTTGACAGTTTACTAAATGTCGTTTAGTTTCAACTTGAAAGGTGCAGTGTGAATTCTAGTGTGATCATGGAAAATTTGGAAGGGCCGCGTAAACGACAAAAAATCGGTCCTTTAATAGTTAATGAAAAAACATTAATATTTAATTGTTTTAAATCATTTCCAGACAAACATTTATATAAAAGTGTTGATGACACAGTGGAATTAGTTAGTAGTACGCTTGGTGTTGGGAAATCCACGATTTACAGAGTTGTTAAAGAAGAGAAATGTGGCGAGTTTCAAACAGCACGTAAAGCTCCAGGAAAACCAAAATTTCAATTAGAAAATCTTTTAAGAGAAAGACTTCGCAGGAAAGTGCATGCGCTCTTCTTTAGAAAAGAATTTCCGACAGTAGACAAAGTTCTTGCCATGGTTCGAGATGATAAGGATTACCCTGAAATGTGTCGAAGCACACTATGGAAACTTTTAAAAGAAATAGGTTTTCTATGGAAAAAGCTTTCCAGAAAGTCTATTTCAATAGAAAGAAGCGATATTGTAGTATGGAGAAGAAATTACCTAAGGACTATAAAAGAAATGAGAAACCAAAGAAGAAATATATTTTATTTAGATGAAACATGGATCAACGAGGAACATAAACCAAATAAATTTTGGCAAGATGAAACTGTTACAAGTCGAAGACAGGCTTTTTTAAATAATTTATCTACTGGTTTAAATCCACCATCAGGAAAGGGGCGCAGACTAATAATAGTACACATCGGTAGTTCAAACGGTTTTGTTAAAGGTGGTTTATTGACTTTTGAATCTACTCGTACCGGTGACTACCATGAGGACATGAATGCTGATGTCTTTAAAGAGTGGTTCGAACAAATTATAGATCCTCTTCCTCAGAACTGTATAATAGTAATGGATAATGCAAGTTATCACTCGAGACTTATAGAAAAAATGCCCACAACCAAGTGGTTAAAAAAAGATTTACAGAATTGGCTAAATTCAAAGAATATTAAGTTCCATCCCGGTTCTGTGAGAAAAGAACTATATCATTTGTGTTCCCTTCATAAAGAGAATTTCAAAAAATATGAAATTGATGAAATTGCAAAAAATCGTGGGATGACGGTGGTTAGATCACCACAATATCATTGCGAAGTAAACCCGATTGAACTGATATAGGCACAGATAAAGGGAGAAGTTTCAAGAAAAAATAATTCTTTTAAAATGAGTGATGTTAAACAGTTGTTTTTGGAGGCTGTAAATAATGTGAAGCCTGAAAACTGGGAAAAGGCAGTAAATCATACGATTAAATAAGAAGAGAAAATGTGGAAGTTGGACAATATTACTGATGAAATGATCGAGCCACTCATTGTAAATATTGGTTGCGACAGTTCATCTTCTGATTTCGATTCTGATTTGGATTTGTAGGTAGGAAGTAGTTTTTATATTAAAATTATTATTTATGAACGTAACGTTATTTAAAAGTCAAAGTTTAAACCATTATACCTACATAACCCGTTTGACACAATGTTCTTAACATACCTTGTGGAAAAATAAAACATTTTAGAAAAAATTGCACTTTTTTACCTTCAGCTGTTTAGAAGTTATAAGCAAGTTAATTAGGTGAAAATATAAGTGTATATTCGAGGAATAACTTCAAAAAATATTTTATCTGTCTACTAAAAGAAGTGATACGCCTATGGATTACGAACGCTTTATTTTAATACTCTTTCGTACATAAAAATAGACTATAGATTGGGGACATGTTTGATCGAATGATGATTATGATATGGTTGGTTCTCAACCAATCAAAAGTAAGTTGAACAAGTAATTTGTTAATAAGTATATTTGGATTCACCATAACAAATGGAATGCTTTTAATATCTTCATTAATGATGGCTCTCTGGATATCCCGTGATATAATAACTAACTGTTGGAAAAATACCTGATACCTTTTTGGCGCCACATAACTAACACCTTTGGACGGTATTTTGGCTCTGCATTTTATACACGTTATGTAAATAAAATTACTTAAAATTTGGATCGGCTGCAAGAATGCAGGTAATAAAATTACAAACCATAAGTTTGTGTATAATTTTAAAACAAAGTCCATAAAATTCGATACCAAAATAAAGTAAGCAATAAAGTAGTGGTAGTGATCTTATTGCTCGAAATTATTTTTAGAATATCTACAACTAAACAAATTGAAACAATGATACATTTGGAGCAAATTATATGGACGGTGACTCAAGTTGCGATTAAATCAACATAGAGTGGAACGAAATAGGAGTGGAACGAAGAATAATACATTAGACAAAGTAAATATTCAAGTATGTTTCTGTAAAAGGAAAATACGGGGTGTGGTAGAGAAATCGGATAAATAAATTATTAAATAAATAACCCCTCACTTCCGATTGGGTAAAATACTGACCTGTACCACACATGAATGATTATCATTTTAAATGATCTAAGAAAATTAATCACACCCTGTTACTATTGAACATTTTTTTAAGAATTAGTAAATTTTCAGCATGGCAATTCACGCCGATTTTTCAAAAGATGTTGTTAGGTGCTATGAGAAATTGATTCTGCTGGGGACGCGAAGACAAAAAAAAGGTGGCTCTTCGCGTAGGTTAGGACCAACCAACCATCTGCGAGACGACGCTCACGTGATAGCGTCTATTAACATTTTGTGGTTTGTTTGTACCACATCCCCAACTAGCCATTCATAAAAGTGTATTTGTTGTGAAGTTCTCATCATCATCATCATCATCATCTATTGTATAGTCCAGGAGACAGTGACGATTTTCGGTATTTATTTTCCCAGTCAACAAGCACGAATAGAGAATTGTAGGATTAGCAATTCTAAGCAAAATTCGTATATATTT